CCCCCCGGGAGCCAGTGGCCTGGTGGAGGGGCCATGGGTGGTTGGCCAGCCAGCCCTGGCCCTGATCAGGGTGGGGGGGCCAATCTGGGGTGGGACTGGGTGGAGGGAGGGGCTATGGGCCAATCAGGGTGGTCGGGGCGGGGATGGCCAGGGAGAGGGGCTGTGGGAGGTTGGCATCACAGCAACTGATCATCAGTCGTTCTGGTTGTTACAGACGCTGGCTTTTTATATATATAGATAATAATGAGTGACAGTAAGCTAGCTTCTGTTTGAAAATAGCTCAATCTAAGCCAATCGACACATTTTCTTGTGTCATACTTAATATCACCTCTGTGTGTTATAAAGAAGATTCATAACCTTCCTTCTACAGGTAAAAATGAAACTGAGCAATCAAATGAGTTGCTCTAAGTCATCTGGGTAGAAGGTCTCAGAAGCCCACATTGTGAGAAGCACAAAGTTAAGTCACTGGGCAAGGATTAGGACTGGATTTTGATTCTTTCAATACTATACATATATGGCACTAGATTTGACATTATTCAAACAAAGATGGATTACAGGATGGAGTATCAGGGGATTGGATTTACTCTCCATCCTCATAAAACAAGAAAAGCAATAAAATAAATGAAACACCAGTTTTCAGACATTGCAGGCAATACAGGACGTGATCCCTGTAGAAGGGAAACAAATGAGGTGAGCCTATGACTGCAACAGCTTATGGCTTAGAGGCAGTTTCTAGGCCATAGGAAAGAAATGGGGGACCTGAACAGTGCCCAGTGATCTGCTGTGTTGAAGAGAAACATAGCATAGTTTAGGATGGCTAAGGCAGCTAGAATTTGTGAGGCAGAGCATGGGAGAAGAGGAAGGTGCTCAGGTGATTACTTATAAGGCATTTAGAAAAGTACCTGGCATATAGAAATGAGGCAAGATAGTAAGCTAAAAAAATTCCTTGGCAAGTGGAATGGGGAAGCCAAGACAGATAGTTGAACAAACTGGCGGAGCAATTTACAGCTACATACAAGTGGTCACCTCCCTAGAGATAACATCTAGGCCTCAGTTGTATTTCAGCTCCAGGCCCAGAAAAGCAGCAAAAGGAGGTGGTCGAAGCCAGGAGCAGCTGCAATGACCAATGACCCCCTGCCCTGGTGCTGACCAATCAGCAGAGACCCTGAAAGAGCACATCTGGAAAGCTGATGAATATGCTGCTGAAACCTTCCCTGAGACCTCCCCTAAGATTCCCAATGGCAAAAGAGAGAATAAAGCCCTTAAGACAAAGGACCCAGCTCAAGCTCTCCCTCCTAGGAGCACGCATCACATTTCTTCCCCCTCAGGCAAGCATCTCCTAAACGCGCGAAGGCTCCCCAGGAGACTTGCAACCAGGGGAGCAGTGGTCAGCAGCAGCTTGTCCCCCACTTACCCCCAAATCTGTCTCCAAGGCTTTCTTTTCTCTTTTGACTTCTCAGTGAGCCAAAGCGGCCCTGCTTCAGCTCATTTGTTTCCTATAACATTTTTAGAAACCAAAGCAGCCCACCCCAGCTCATTTGTTTCCTATAACACTTTTAGAAACCAAAGCAGTCCAGCCTAGGCTCTCCTGTTGTTTCTTCTATGCTAAGCCCTTCATTGTTTTACTGTCCCCAGCTTTAATAAACATATCCTCATAGTCACCTGGACTCATATTGTGAAATCTTTTCTGCACAAAGAACCCACACACTACCAGCTGGCCCTAGGCAGACCTTCCCAGGGCCAGGTTCCCTGACCGGTATCAGAAGGAGCTCAGTAAATTTTAATTATTTATTGTAACTGTTATTACTGGTACTACCTGCATAAGATAATTTTAGGTGCGTCACGGGTAAATTTTTCATTTCAATATTTACATCTTTATTTTAGTGCATTTAGGAAAAATTTAATGTGGTTATTAAAAGGCTTAGAATGAGCCTAAGTCTTTAAAAAATGAAAGTTGATGAAAGAAAAATAGTAAATAAAAAATAGTATAGATAATACACAAAAAGCAAATCTTCCCAAATTAAAATTTAGGAAATACTGGAACTATACAATGCTCATTTATACGTATGAATTTCTATACTTAAAAAAAAAAAAGGCCTCTTGGCTTTAAATAACCTTGGGTATAGTTGACAGATATACAAGATGTTACATAACCAGTAACGACTGGGACATTTCAATGATCCAAAACGTCAACTGACTACTCTCTCCATAAAAATAGAAACTGCATTTGTAACAGGGAGAAAAAAAACTGTTAAGACAGATCTTGCATGTGTGAAAAAATGTAATAGTAGTGTGGTGTCAAAGGAGGACTTTGATCCTAGTGGAGTGATTCTAGTGATTTTGAGAGAAAATTCTTGGGGTTTCTAACAGACTGCCTGGTCTAACCCATATCACTTGCCTGTGATACTGTTAAGGCGTTCACCTGGGCTGGATGGGGCACTTCCTTGTTTACCGAGGGAGGCTCCAGAGGCCTTGGGTGTCAGGAAGGGTAACACTGTTCTCAAGCCACTCAGGAAGGGCCCTGGGGGCTAACTGGTTTCAACAGGGATCTTTGGCCTCAGCTCTGGTTAGGGGCCAGCATTTGAGAAGGGCACACCCATTCCCAGGAGGCAGGTTCCAAGCTGGGGAAGGAAGCCAGTCAGAGATGCAGTTGTTAACCAGCACTTCAGGGCTACAGGGGCTTTATCTGTACTTTGAGAGGTAGGCTTCTTTTTCTATTTTGTGTGAAAAGTCGTTTTAAAAAAACGAACTCCCAACTCTAGTACTTACTAGAGTTCTTGTTGAAAATGCCAGACTCCCATAGTGCTAAGGGGAACAGGAAGGAAGAGGGGCATGAAGAGAACCCCTGGGGTCAGATCTATCATCAAAGTCAACTGTACCTGGCGCTCTAACATCTGCTCAGTTTCATAACTTCACAAACTCCAAGTGGCCAGAGCCTTATGCCCAGGTCAAATACACAGGGAGTGTACACTGATTTAAAGCTCTTTCCATACACTACAATGCCATGTTTTAGCCACACTTGAACCAGAATCCTCAAGGAGAAACAGCTTAGTCCTTGGGAATCGAGTGCAGGAAGACCACAGGAATCAAGGGGCAAACCCCACGGCACAGCTACTTCCACATCACCTGCAGAAGTTCCTTCCAGACAGGGCTGGGACCAGGGTGCGGCACAATTTATTCTCAGGGTGGTGCACCTGCCGGCTTACATTCTGAGGCCTGAGTGCCTGCTTGCCTCACTCAAGTCCCGGCCCTGCTTCTAGACCTTTCACCTCCTGAAAGTTTGGTGTTTATATTTTATTTTAGAAGGAGAGGCCAATCCCTTACAAGAGTCCTGCCTTAATAAATGATACTTGTTAAGTTATTGAGCTGGATAAAAAAGGAAATAGACCAGATTTCAAAGAAACCAAACCTATACAAAAACTGAAAAGGAATCTACAGATTATTGCCTTTTCTTATTCCCCCAACAAATAACTCTTTATAGTGCAAAGGCAACTATAATCTAAATTATTAAGACAGGGAATAAAACATTTCTTAGGGTCTTTCTTACTTTCTCAGATATACTTGCTTTTCGATTCAACTTTCTATCATAAACAAAAGAAATTGTTTAGTGCCCTTTGACCTACCTCTATGCTAGGCACCCATCCACTATAAACACACTCTTAACAGAGACACCAACGTGGATTTATATACACAGACCGAAAAGATAAAGCAAAAACATTTACTCAAATCAACTTAAACAATGGAGCCACAGTTTATACCAGTCAAAAACAGGTGTACGAGGGTTTTATGGTAGATAAATGCTACTAGGCTGGAGTTTGAAAAACTAGATGGGAATCACTGAGTTTTCTCATATGCAAATGTAGGAATCACATTAAATAAGCCCTAAGTCCCTTCAAACACTAGGGGTCTATGATTCTACTTAGGATCAGGCAGCCAAGGAATGGGGGCCAAGGACAAGGCAGCATTAAGATAGAACTGCTTCATCAAAGTAAGGAGGAGGCCATTCAGTTCTTGTTTTCTCTATTCGCCCCAACTCCTGCTTACTCTTGGTAAACTTACCCAGGCCAAACAACTGCTAAGTATTTAAGACCCAATAAAACTGGATAAGGTTGGACAAACATGATCTCCCGATTACATTTTGTTATCTCATTTGTGCAGTCAATAATTCAGCAAATAGTTTTACTAAATCTCTTGCTTTATGTAAGGCACTGTGCTGAGGAGAATGGACAAATGAGCAATCGCTGTCTGAATTTAAAATTTGGCAGGTTGTCCTGCTCAGTAAAGACACACATAACCTAAATCAGGGGTAGGCAACATCCGGCCCTCGGGCTACATAAGGCCCACGATATCATTTGGTTTGGCTCTGACAAGGCATTAGAGTTAAGTAAATTAAATGTTTGACCAAATATTACAGGCTAATTTTTAAGTTGATAATTCTATATGGCCTGAGAATGATGTTATAAATACCCAAAAGGCTTTTGGCAGAAAAAAAGGCTCCCCAAATGGAGAACAAAGACCTGCAGTGAAGCATAGCTTTCATTTTTGGGATCCGGGTCTCCATTTAAAGCTATATACCCTGAAGAGGTTAATTTCCCTTCAGTTTCCTCATCTATAAAATGGGAATAATAATAGTACCTTTTCATAAGTCCTTGAGAGGATTAAATGAAGTAACAGACAAAAGCAGCTTCAAATAACACCAGGTACAACATAGTCAATACCTGGTCAAGATTAGTTCTTATTATTAGAGTTTAGAAGATTAAGTGGTTGATTTGACTACGGAGAAGGAAGAAATATTTCATCAGGAGTTAGCGTTAGAACTGGGCATTAAAAGATGGCAGTGGGACAGGAGAAAGGAAGAGGAAGGAGAAAAGAGAGGGACAAGGAGAGAAAGCCTTGCTGTATAGTAAGCAGTTCCATTTGGCTGGAGTGGAAAGGTCCTTACCAGAAATGGTGGTGTGAAATGCAATTCAGAGTACTTGCATTAACTTTTTCCTATTCATTTCCCTTCATCCCCCAGTCATGTCCTAAAAACTAACACACTAATTAAGAAATAGATCAAATCTTATTACTATAGATATGTAGTCTGCATTACATACATGTAATCCTCTATGAGTAAGATTATTTCTTAGTAGAGGCCCGGTGCACAAAATCCATGCATGAGTAGGGTCCCTAGGCCTGGCCGATCAGGGCCAATTTGTGGGGTGACCGGCGGGATGATCGAGGGGGCCCCCCGCTGGCACCTGCCTTGGCCAGCTGGGCGCCACCTGCTCGCTGGCCCCGCCCCCCGCCGCTGCCACCACCGATTGCCTCCCTCTGCAGGGTGATCAGAGGGCCCCTGATGGCACCCGCCTTGGCTGGCCTGAGGCCTGCGGGCTTGGGGCAGCTCCTGTGTTGAGCATCTGCCCCCTGGTGGTCAGTCTGCATCATAGTGACCGGCCATGCTGCTGGTTGTTCCACCGTTCAGTCAATTTGCATATTAGGCTTTTATTATATAGGATATGGGTAGATAAGACTAAACCTCTAAATCTAAAACCCTTATGTGTTTTTCCTGATCCTTTATGGAAGCAATCTGTCAAGTCTGAAAAAGCACGAAGAATTCTTAAGTCTAAGCATAAGGAAAACAAGTTCCAAGGCAGATTAAAGTCACTTAACCCTCTGGTCCTCAATTTCCTCTTACTAAAAATATATAGTACTACTGTTACTTCAAGATGAATAGACAGAAGGATATTAAAATGGTGGAAAGACTACTGTAGGAAGGAAAAAATTTGCCAACGTCCTGGGGTTGATATAAGACACAAATGCAACAATGGATGTGAAAACACTTTACATATCTGATAAATATTGTATAAGATACAAGGTTTTTTTCCTACATACCATATACAAAAAGGCAGGAACTCCAGATAAGAAGGTGGTAGTATATGTAAAAAAAATATAAACTTTGGTGTCCGGCAGACTTAGATTAGAACCCTAGCTCTGTGATCTGAAAGCAAAACAGCGCTTTTCTTTCATGTTGCTGCTGGAATCATCAGACAGGCCATGTGAGTCCCGCAAAGGTGTTTCTCCTCACTGCTTCAGCCACTTTAGAAGCATGTGCGGATCTATTGACATATTTTAGAAACTCTTCTTGCTTTCATCTTAGCCCTTACCTCCCTTTTTAGATCATTCTGATTTTTTTTACTTTTTTTTAAATTGCCCCCCCCCCTTTTTTTAAAGAGGCTGAGCCTAAAAATTAATTAATTATACTTTGACCTCTTCCTTCACTCCCCTCCCCGTACATCCCTAAACAGAATCTCTTGGACTTGTTTGTATGCCCTGTTCTTTCTAAGTGCTCAACAAATGGTTCTTAAATTAATAACAATATTGAAAAGTTCACAATCTAACTGGCAATTATCAGAAACATCCAAATACCTTTGGGCCAAATCTAGGCCGAAGAAGAACTACATTTTATTATATATTTTCAGGACATTTTTAATAACAGTAATATTTTTAATTTGTTGAGCAAGTTATAACGTTTTACGTTTATCTGCATGTGATTTATCTGGGTCCTCACTGCAGCCTTGTGAAATTGGTTTGGCAGGTAGCGCTTTCTATTTTATATCTGGGCAACAGACCAGCCATTCTCTTCTTAATGTGGGAGAGCCATAGTAGAACCCAAGTCTTTCTCATTCTAGCCAAAAACTAAAGCAACTTACTTTTTGCATAAATATGGAAATGAATAACAATAGGAATGTCTGCCCAGAAATCATCTATAATAAACATAACTATCAGTCAGCAAAATGTGTTTAAAAATGTAGGCTCCCTCCTCAGGCCTCCCCCACGCTATATTGTCTGTCCATGGGCTATGCATATATGCATATAAATTCTTTGGTTTATCTCTAAAGCGGGAGTGGGGTTGAGGGAGTCAATGGGAAGAAAAAAGGGAACAGCTGTAATACTTTCAACAATAAAGATAAATTTTTAAAAAGCCTTACGCAACAAAGGCAATAACTGCCCAACTGCAGCATTATTAAGTCCAACTGACACATCAAGTCTGTAACATGAGTTTGCACTTTTCATAAGACTGTATTTTAATTTTGTGTGGATTAATTTTGATTTTTGGGGGGGTGTGGATTATTTTAAACCACTGTGTATTATTTCTATGGTCAATGTTTCTTTAATAAAAAAAAAGCATTCTAAGTGGGGGAAAATGTAGGAGCCACTAATTATTATTTTTTTAAATGGATGTATATATGGAGGACAGGAGATATTTCCGCTGTATTCATGTTACCCAACCTCAGATCACATTAGTTCTCCCACAGGATCTATGTTCAAATATGATTATAAAGGGAGTTCACTATTTGGAGGGCAAAGACAGGAAAACAATGTCATAGAAAGTGCAATGTAGCCTTTATCCCTGCACTCTACAAAGCTATAGGAAGAAGGTCCCCACCCTACCCCCGCCTCCAAAACCCTCCACACAGCCCAAGGGGTGCTACTGATGAACAGCTGTCAAGCCCACATTATTTACTCTTATTTGGGACACAGGTCAACGCCTTGCTGCTAATAAAATCCACTGGCTTTCATGCTCCCCGGGTCGTGATGATAAGGATGATCGCCTCGCTACCTTAGCTGGCGTTTCATGAAAAAGCCAGTGAGGCAAAGAGGAAGTTGTTACCTCTGAGAAGAGTAACTTCTCTTTGATGAACTACAGATACTCGCTCTGGAGGACCCTTTGTGGGGGTTCATGTCAGGATCACGAGCACAACCTTGAGAAACAGACGCCTGTCAGTGTCCACAGGGCACGTGGGGATGACCTACCTGACTGACCACCAGCCCCGGTGCCAGGCCGCCCGGGACGGTGGTGTCAGTGCCCAGC